CATTCGGTGTCCACACAAAATAATCTGTCGTAGGTCAGTGCTCTTACTTGATTACAGCATTCAAATAACAAATTTGAATGTTTTTCCATCATATCCACCATTAAAGCAACGCTGAGAATTGACTCTAAAGCTCCCTAGGTCATTCATGTAATACTTTCCTCCATGCATGTCTACAAGTTATTGGATGGTTAAGAACTCCTGATTCTCCATGTTCATCAGCTTCTCTCCGTTTCATTGTTTCGCTTATCGTAGTGTTTGGCTTATGATCCTTAGCATCAATTCATGCTCACCACACTTAAAAGAACGGCGAATCGATCAAGAACTGTCTATACAAGACATTCAAATCTTACTCACAAAACCTTCAAAGACTCAACAAAACAAGATAAAGTTCACGGAGAGGGAAAGAAAGAATACCAATGAGAATAGCCTTATTTTTCAGTGATTTAACATCCAATTGAATAGTTAAGACAATTCTCATTAAATTCTAGCATGAGAAAATTTGTGATAACAGGATCAAAATTTGGTCGTACGGATTTTAAAATCCTAGAATTTATGTTCAAAATAAGTATAAAATAAAAATATGATTGATAATTCATTGGTGACACTTATCTCAAAATAAATTCAATAGTTTTAAAGCCCATTTGGAACAAATTTTAATCGGGATATCAAAGCCTATTTTTTTTCTAAAAAAATAAAATTAATTTGATGTTAAAAGTTTTATAAATTCATAAGATAACTTAATTAAGCTTAAAAAGCATACAAAAAATAACACTAATATATGTTTTAGATAGTGAGATAAATCATTCATTAAATTTTTTTTATATAAATTTCAAAACTCACCCTTATCATTATAAAAATAATGAAACGAGTTATGTGTCGATTTTATTATTTATTTTATAAGATATTTATTATAATGATTATATTTAAATATCATAATATTTTAATCAATTAATGCATTTATTCTCTTTATAAATTTTCAAAATGCCATTCACCAAAATTATTCATGAAAATTCGTTAATTGCGGGAGAAAGAGGAAAGGCGTTTATAAGGAATTGTTTAATATAATATCTTTAATTAAATTTTCACGATTAGCCCTTATAGCTCAGTGGCAGAGCGTCAGTCTTGTAAACTGAAGGTCCGTAGTTCGATCCTGCGTGAGGGCATTTATTTATTAGAAGTTATATTAATTATATTCAATTTTCTTTTAAAAAAATTTATCCATTGTATTTTGAAATAATAATTTTTCATTTCACTAAATTTTAATTTATTTTAAAAAGAGAATTAAAAATTATTTACTCAAAAATAATGACACAAATTTTATGTTTTAAAGTATGAGACATGAGGAACTTTTATTATATCCAGTGAACGTACGCAAAGGAACGTTCGGTTTTAGGCAAAAAAAGCGCCTGTACCGAGTACCGAGGTGTACCGAGTTTTTTCAAAAAACTCGGTACAGGCGCTTTTTTGCCTAAAACCGAAGGTTCCTCTGCGTACGTTCACTGGATAAAATAAAAGTTCGAGACATGAGACCATAATAGTAGAAATAAAAATAATTTATTTTTAAGTTCTCAAAAAGGTTCTAATCATCAAAGAATGCAAAGAATGTAATCCTTAACTAGGGGTGACAACTAGTCGAGCCGAGCTCGCACATTGAGCGGCTCATCGAGCTCCTTCCTGTTCATCTCTCACATTGAGCGGCTCGTTGAGCTCCTTCCTGTTCGTCATCGAGCGTTGTCACGAGTTACGTCATCCTGAGCTACGTCGACCGTCGAGCTCCGTCATCTCGCCGAAGTCGCGAGCTCGTTGTCCCGACCAGGGTAACCCCCGCTAGCAGCACGCGGGCTCCAAGCCTCCGACCTCCATCGACCCGAGCTACGTCATCAAGCTCAGTCGTCCTGAGTTCCGCCTTCGAGCAACAAACTTTTATTAGATCCGGTGTAAGGACGTAGAGGAACGTCCGGTCGGAGGGCAAAATTCCGCCAAAAAATTCGGTATTTGCTCGGTATTACTAGGTATTATTTGATAATAACGATGAATATCGCTCTGTGAAGATCAATACCGAGTTATACCGAGCAATATCGAGCAATAATTAGAAAAAACTCGGTACAACTTTTGTATAACTCGGTATTGCTCGATATAACTCGGTATTGGGTCTTCACGTGATGGTATTCCTCGTTATTGTTTGGTATTGCTTAGTATTTGCTCGGTATTTCTCGTTTTTTAGCGCGATTTGGCCTCCGACCGGACGTTCCTCTAGTCCGGTCGGAGGACGTAATAATTGTTCGCAACACGCGAACTCCATCATCGTCCCTAGTTCCGCCATCGAGCAACACACGAACTCTGTCTTTTTTATTTTTCCACATGAACTTCGATTCCTCCTCCCGCCCGCCCAAATCTAAGTTTCGTTTTACCTCCGGTCACATCCGCGAGCTGCTCGACGAGCCAACAAGTTGAGCAGAGGTCTGTTCGAGCACGATAAGTCATCGAGCTCGAAATCTTGTCCGAGCTCGTTAAGCTCGACTCGTCGAGTCTATTACCGAGTCAAGTCCAAGCCGACTTGCAAGTTGACTCGACTCGATTACACCCCTATCCTTAACCACCAAAATTGTGTTGACTTCAATTGTTCAAATAATTGAAACATGGTGTAGATTCACATATAATAGAAAAGAGCAAAGTGATAGAAAGTTGGGATCATGCGGGTTGCAAATCAGACAGTTATGGTCTAGAGATTAGATTTTATCAAGACTAATATTATTAGTTGAGCTGTAACATAAATCAATCGATATAAATTATTTTATCATAATCAAATATGACAGTGTATTCTACCATTTTCTTGAAAACCTAGTTTTTTTTTATTTGCTTTTGTAATTATTTTTTTTATTTTATTTTTTAGTTTTTTTTTTTTAATTTACTACTATAACTTAACTTTATATTTAGGGTAAATTCAATTACTTCTTTTTTTATTATTTTAATTTTTTTTATTTTTTTATTTGCTACTATAACTTAACTTTATATTTAGGGTAAACTCAATTACAATCAATTTGCAATAATTCAACACAAGGGATCCCTACGACTAGATATCTCTATCTTACGATCCACCATGAAATTAAGCTCTTCTTGAAAATATGTAAAAATCATATAATGGGCTAACGGCTCAGTAGGTTATCAAAACTTATTACTCCAATCAACGCACGATAGTGAAAAATAATATGTATATAATCATTCAATCTATATTAGTATAGACATGTAACTATAAGACCATATAATAGTCAATATGAACTGTTTCATTTCATATGAACAATAGAAATCATTTAAAGAGTAAAGACGATATCATTCAAACTTAGTGACTAGTGGTTGTATAGAAGATCAAAAGCTTTTGTTATTCCTATGCTTATTAGTTATAAAACAGTTCATATAAGTCTTTATATGCATTTCGTACAGAGTCTATACACGTATATCATGTTCCTATCAAATACAATACTTCAAGTATCAGTCTTACCAATCATATCAGCCTTTTTTGTAGTGTCGTATATGTATGAATGTGATATAATATCAATATTATGTACAATGCACATTATGTATACCATATAATTCATGTGAATCATGTGCCATTATATCAATCTTATAAGCCATATCACGTGTATGTATCAATCATGTTATATCTCATGTATGTCATATTATATAATATCACTTATGCAATGTATCATGCATGCTAATATCATATGCATTCATAAGCAATATAAACAAGATAGGACATCCGACTATATGTGGTATTTTTTTATCTAGTCCTCTAGGTCAACCTTACAGGAATCAATCTCGATCATACCAATCCTATTGTCAAGAATAAGTCTCATATCATATCTCATAAGTCATGTGGCTTTCATGTAATAAGTCATCACTTCTTACCACCGGCATATCATATCATATCAATCAGTCTTCTTATGGCTCCCCGTTCATATCACTAAGGATTACATAACAAATATTCTTTAAAAGAAAGTATGTTGGTCCACCTCTTGTACAGGATAACATGTCTCAAACCAATATGAATAAGTCAATAATTTTCAACCAGCATTTCTTATCTTTGCACATATTTTCACATCATATATATTAACGAACATTATACACACCCAATGCAATTCTCATTAAACTCATCAATATATTTATAGTATGCCAAAAATATATATGTTGAACTAAATGAACAATAAAATGTATGTATATTATATATTTCATGTCCAAATACAATACATTGGCTTCTGATTATTTATTACTAAAGTTTATGCTACTCATTTCAATTAAAATGGTATTCAAGAAAATACTTTAAGATATTTTCATTAAAAAAAATAAAGTTTCAGACCCAATATCACGGCGCCCAAAACTCCAACGCTATTGCGTTCAATTAATTCCCCAAAAATTCGAGAGCTCAAAGCCGGGGCACCCAAAAACCCGGCACCAGAACACTCTCACAACATAATTTTTGGACATTGTAGTAAATAGATGTCTCCATTAGCTCAATTTGCAAATTTTGTATATGGAGCCCACCAAAAATTTAAATTTCCTACATCAATCAAATTAATAAATCTTGATAGTTTTGCTATGAATGAGAAAACCAAATAGTTTTATAACTTTAACATCACTGAAACTATTTTGGCCATCACTCGCCACGCCTTCAACCACATTCAACAACAACAACATCATCATCAAACCTTTATCTCACTGCATGAGGTCAACTAAGTGAATTTGTTTTCTCCATTGTGTCATGTTAAGGAGAAATTATTATGTGCGGACGCCAAACGCAACTTTACATCTGGAGACCAACCAGAATGAGCCTCGTCAGCAATACCGAGCGAGATACCGAGCAGTACCGAGCCGCAGCACCAAGCCACAGTACCGACATGGCTCATTCTGGTGGTTCTCCGGACAGCATTCAACATCCGCACAAAATAATCTCTTCATGATGATTATTTGATAACCCAATAAAATAGAGATTAGAAGAATAGTCATATAAAAGTAAGCTAAATCTGTGATTTAACAAACCAGATATGGAATTTTACAAGGTTCTAACAAACCAGTGGAATTGTAAGGAAAGCTGCTATATATTGTTCTAAAGTTTCCCAAGAAATACAAGCCTCACTTTCCAGAATAGAACATATAACACTATACTCCCATTACAATCACATTAGGCAACACACACAGCGCTAAGTAAGCTAAGACATTTCAGAAGCGGTAAGAATTGTCTGTACCATACTTGTTGTTCATGTTGTAATGATCAAACTTCTGTTCATTGTTGTACTCCTTAGGCTTGGTCTCAATTGCTTTTGGTTCAGTCCCCACAACTCCAAAAACCATTTCTCCACTTTTTTCGCGGTGACGGTGCCGAGTTCTATCTTTCTGGCTCTTAGAACCCATCTGAGAAGCCTCAGCGCTGTAGAAGTCGGTATAATCTTGCCTCTTTGTTGATCTATGCTTACTCACAAGTGAACCATCCTTGTACTTGGGTGGCTTGCTGCTCTTCTGGTGCCTAATGGAAGTATCAGTATTGATATTTGAGGAGCTTGGATTCTCCATCATGGTTGAAGAGTTTGCTTGCTTCTGAACTAGAGGTGGCTCTGCTTTGTCCTCAGTTATGATTAGATTGTCTTTCAGTGGAGTCAGACCTTTTCTTCCAGATAAGAGACTTTGAGGGAAGATGATGAGGCTTAGAAGGGCATTAATGATTGCTTCTATGGCAAATTTAGCTAGATCAGAGATTAGCCTTCCTGGAGATGGCCATCCAGCTTCCGTTTCTTCTTTCAGGCTTTCAACAACCAAGGCAGGTTTGTTCAGTGAAGTATGATTTTGTAGTTTTGATGATGAAGCCCGCTTCTGAATATGACAGAAGAAAAGAAAAATCAATAAATCATCATTAATAAACTATTTCAGTTATTTGAGATCAACTTTGTGGATCCAAATTTACTATTTGTTCATGAGTGTTGCATGAGGTGTTAAATATTTTCTTCATAAACCTTAAAAAACAAATTTTTATCTCTGCAATTTCATGGCTTCCTCTTTTCCTTCCTAATCCTAAGACAGAAATTTTATCTACTCATCTAATGAGTGTATTTTCTTCCTTACGTTGTACATGTTTCACAAAAACTTATTTTTCCTGTGATGGATGTTATAAACTAATATGATGTGATGTCAAGCTTGGAACAGTGATAACTTCTGGGCAGAATAAGGTTATGTTCAAACACTATGGATTATGAGAACAGTAAGTCTAGAGATTTATAACCTTAGAGAAAAAGGAACTTCCCAATCCATGTTGAAGTAAACATGAAATGTAGCCTGCCAAGATTGCACCAACCACCATGGTAATGTCTGCTTGAAAAGATGAGAAATTCAAAGAATCGTTAGATCAACAACAATGTTTACAGCATTGGAAGTGCGGAATAAATTAAAAACCCAACTTGCAAGCTCAGAAATGGCATTCAGAACATTTTTTTTAATACTGTGTAGTCGCCAAAATGACAGCAAAGGATTTGGTTCAGTGGATATCTCAGGAATTACTGTTAGCGAATTTTAGCTAAAGATACTTCCCTGAAAAGTTTCTTATATGATGCTTCGTTTGGTAGAACTGTGTTTATTTTGTGTATATGATGCTTCGTTTGGTAGAACTGTGTTTATTTTGTGCTTTTTCTATGTTGTATGGTATTAAAACATTATACTTTCACGTCAAAATAAGAGTTATTTCTTTAAGTAAATCTATATGCTCATGCAGTCATAGAGAAGATCTTGCAAAGTAGTGCTTTTGTAAGCATATTTCTCATCTAAAGGAATACTACTCTAGAAAAAAATTAATAAGGAGAACAGCGGAACTAACTTTACGCTTATGCCTTTTCTTTTCATGTGATGGCCCCCAAGGTGGACTAATTATCCTGTGCGAACACCGGACATAGAGAACCGTCCAGATTTGTTGCGCTTTTACTGTCTTTTTGCTAAAGAGCAGTAAAAGGATAACAAATATTTAATATTTATTAAATAATTGAATATTTGTTGTGCTTTTACTTAGTATTTGAAAAAGCACAACAAAACGGCAGTAAAAACACATTCGTAATTGAATATTTGCTGCCCTTTTTTAAAAGCGCAACAAAAGGGCAGTAAAAGCACAGCAAATCCGAATGGTTCTCTGCGTTCGATGTCTGCACAGAATAATTTCTCCCTCAGGTGTGGCATGGTAGCTCTTGTGGGTCTCGCTGTAGCGATAGATGTGAATACCTTTCATGCACATCTGCTGTAAAAGCACACCATCCCAGACCCAACTTCAACTTGAAAAGCTGAATCAATCGATCCCTAACAGTGCAACATACACTTCTATTGGTTTTGACTTTTAACATACAATGTGCTTGTATTTTAGGTTCTAATTATAAAGATTCAATTACAAAACGTATAGCTGTTTAAATTCTGTGTTATACATTTCTAAAAAGTGATTGATTTTGGATTGATCTGATAAAAATGTGAAGATTCATGCTTTCATAGTTTTTGTGTGACAGCGAAAACAAGACAATGGTCCTTCTAAATTGACATTTGAAAGTTCGATATAGAATGTTAAGCCTAAGTTATATGTTTTTTTTGTAATTAAAAAAGCAAGCAACAACTATTACTTGATGCATAAGCAAATAACCAAAAGTTACAATAACAATGATGATATTCTAATCAACATAACGAAGCATCAATCACAGATTTTCAACAAGCAATTATCACAAAAATAAATTGAAGAAAAAATAAATTGTGCAAAATAAGAAATCAGAATCAGCACACAGAATTTTATAGTGGTTTGGTCAAACAATGACCTATATCCACTCCCCCGAGTCCCTCTCTCCAAGTATTGCACTAAACCTTTAGTGTTTCTCTTTTAGCCCCCACAACTAGGCAAAGAAGGCCTTACAATCTTTTCACCGACATGATGCGCATAAAATCTTGACCTCTTTTCACCTTTTTGGTGAAGGTAGAGAACCTTGACATCTTTTTCACCCTCTTGATGAAGGCAGAGAACATCGATCTCCTTTTTCACCCTCCTGGTGAAGGCAAAGAACCTCAACAATCTTCAAACTGATGATCTTCTTCCCATAGCCACCCAAGAAACCTAACAAGACACTTGGAGGAAACAAGGCGGAAGCTAGCTCGGAGCAACCGTGTTAAAACTTCTCACACTAATCTTCTTCTTTCTCTTTCCCAAAGCTCTTCAACATCTTTTCTCCAAGCTCTCTCTCTAGAAAACTCAAACAACCAAAGACTTGAAACAAGTCTAATTAGAGAACTTAAATACAAGGTCTCACAAAAAGCCCTAAAATTCAATTCTATTGACACTGATAGTACAATACAATCTACAATTGTACAGTATGATTAGTTCAAATGACTATGTTAGTATTGTACAAAGAGTTCGGTGCTGTACGATCAATTCAAGGAATTGAGCTGATTGTCAAGTCCGATTTGAAGCATCGTCCAGTACGATTAATTCAAACTACTTGGATTATCATCCTGTATGATTGGCGATGAAAAAATATCGTCCCATGTAGAAATCGGGTGGTACAGTACGATCGGTCAAATCATCATGTATGATCTAACTTGATCTATTAATTCAAAATCGTTCCCTAATCAAATAAGTAATTTAGGCTAGATTTGATTATATCGTACATTATGATACATATCATACAGTACGATTAGTACAAAAATTGAAATTTAAACTATTGACTAAATTATGATTGGCGGCTAAGATCTTGATTTCAAGTTATCATCCTGTACGATATAGATCGTCCAGTACGATTAGTTCAATAGCTTTAATTGCATAATTAGCTATTTCAATGATTCTCTGAATAGCTCATCGTACAGTACGATTAGTTCATAAAAAATATACTTCTAATTTTCTCTCTCACTCCCCAGAGTGTGCGTGTGCACGATCACCAAATTTAGTATCCACCAAATACATGACTTTGACTCAGGAAATGTAGAAATAAATAAAAATAGAAAATACTGAGCTAGTCAATTTGCACTGTGTACGATGGACCTGAAATGTTAGTGCACAAGAAATAAATAAACATTAATAACAATAACAGGAGATAGCATAGTAGAGAATCCAATAATGCTTGTTATCATCAAATTCACAAAATCTAGGTCCAGATTTACAACAACGATATCATATCACCTCATGATCTATGGTGACCCTTCAATCACACCTATGGGATCAACACTAATCTCGAAGAATCAATTAGAATCTAGAAGCCCAATTTAAATCATATCCAACAACAATCTAAAAAATATCCAACGTTCAAATTCAAAACAACACTAATCTTAAAGCCCAAGACTCTCATCTATCCACACATTATTGACAAGCATACTATAGTCTAACTCCAATGCTAACAATGAGATGTCTTAGTCCACAGTCCTCTAATTGACATGACCAAGGGCATTTTGTCCAACACTAATATCAAAAATGAAATGTCCTTATTGTGTATTTTTCACCTTACCAAAAGTAATTATCTATCCTCTGCTCAAATAATTTTAAATATCCTTTCCCTCAAAGGAATTGTAAAGATTCATTCTAAAACTACCCTAGTATTAGGAGAAAGCTATGTTAAGCCATTTCCATCCATTTCTTTCAACTCACTTACTAATTAGAGTGTCAATGTGTCTTCCCTGGGAAATATTCTCAAGGCAGATTTTTTTTTTTTGGGTGTAAAAAGCGAGTGATTATTGTAAACAACAAGCCCTAAAAAATTCTTAAGACTTTAAAAAATTTTCAAGCATGAAATAATTTGGCATCTATTATGGGAAATATTTTCACTCCTATTAATTTGATGCCTTATTATTGAACAATGTGATATCAATGTGATATGTGAAATAGAGAGAGGTCCAACTCCCCCTCATCACAAATAAAAAATCACTTAGTGTTGAATATTTGATAAGAAGATTAAGTAATTAAGAAATTCTTCATAGTATCAAAGCTAGTTCTCTGAATCCTAATCCCTTCAGACCGCCTCTCTGGCATATTCGTCTAGGCTTTCTCCTTCTACATATCCAACAACCTTATTTATTCTTCTCCCTCACCTTCTCCGCAATATAGAATGACCTCATCACAAATATTTGGCATCATGACAGATGAATTAGGTAGCGGTTTAGAAATTCCAAACATTGGCAGCAATGATTCTTCTCCTATTCTCATCATAGAACAAATTAAATGGCTATAATTATTTACAATGGTCACAATCTATGTTGATATTCATTTGTAGTCAGGGAAATGATGAGTATCTCACAGGAGTAGCAACAATGCCAAAGACTACAAATCCAGGTTTCAGAAAGTCGAAGATTGAAAATAGTATGATAATGACAGGTGAAAATTTCTTGTTGTTTGGGACTGTAAAAGAAATATAGGATGCAACCAAAGATACTCTAGCTCTGAATATACTTTATAGTTGTTTTTGGTTGAATCAATCAGTACTTCATGACTTCCTCCAAGGAGAGTAGTATGTTACTCAGTATTACAACACACTCAAATGATATTTACAACTTAACTTATTTGAAACTCACTCATGGACATGACCATAAGATGCAGTAATACACCAACATATTGTGGAACAAAATAGCATGTTTAAGTTTTTCTTAGGACTTAACAGGGAGTTGGATGATGTTCGAGGTCGAATCTTGGGCACTAAACCATTACCAAATCTTAGGAAGGCTTTCTCAGATGTTAGGCATGAAAAAAGTAGAAAGAAAGTAATGATGAGATTTAAGGAACAACCCACATCAACGTTGGATGCATCTGCCCTTATTGTCTGATCATCTAACTATAATGGTGGAGATCATTAGAAACGGGAAAGGCCTTGGTGTGATTACTATAAGAAACTAGGTCATTACAAGGAAACTTGTTGGAAGCTCCATAACAAACTTGTTGATTGGAAACCAAAGCCACGGTTTGATAAAGGCAGCAAAGAACATATGGCTTCCAACTTTGAGAATGCTCCTATTCCCAAACCTATCCCATTTAGCAAAGAGTAGATGGATTTACTGCAGAAATTCTTTAATCAAGTTGGCAATGGTAACATTATTGGGACATGTTTGGTTGCTCAAACGGATTTACATACTGCCTTCAATACTAAAAAAGGAGACATGAGGTTGCGGATAGTCGACACTAGTGCTTCTGATCATATGACAAGAGATGATGCCCGTCTAAAAAATTACAAGCCAAGTAGTGATAGCTTGTTTGTCCGTATTGATGATGGTTAAAATTTAAAAATTATTAGAACAGGTTCCATCTAACTTACTAAAGAGTTGTATCTCAACTCTGTCCTCTATGTTCCAAACTTGGATTGTAATATTTTGTC